CAATTCATTTCATCAATAATGTCAAATAATCATGGTCAATCGCATATATATATATATATGTCTATATATATATATATATATATATATATATATATATATATATATATATATATATATATATATATATATATATATATATATATATATATATATATATATACACATATATATATATATATATATATATATATATATATATATATATATATATATATATATATATATATATATATATATATATATATATATATACATGATGATGATGATGATGATGTTGTCACCTCTCTCTCTCTCTCTCTCTCTCTCTCTCTCTCTCTCTCTCTCTCTCTCTCTCTCTCTCTCTCTCTCTCTCTCTCTCTCTCTCTCTCTCTCACACACACACACATACACGCACACACAGTCGAACGCACCTTGCTATGTCGAGGGCGATTTTCATCCTTAAGTTCCATGTTAATGCGGATCCCCTTGAAGGTCCTAAAGACGAACATTAACAAAATCAAGAAGTATTCTTATTTCTTTAGTAATGGATTTTTCAGCTTAATTAAAATGCAAAGTTTTATAATTACCGTGTAACTGAGTTTCGAGAGATCCAAAGGGCATGAGCTCGTAAACAAGAAGCCTAGTCTGGTCAAGAATGCTATAACCCAATAAACTTATTATATTCGGATGCTCGATTTTACTCAATATGTCTACTTCAGTCTGCAAATATTGCAAGATCAAGATCACAAGTATTACAACTAAAACAACATCAAAATGAGATCAAAACCGAAAAAACACACAATTGACTAAATCAAAAAAACCTGAAACTCAGTAATAGAATCTGGATGACCGGCAGCAAGTCTTTTGACAGCAACATAAAAGTTGGGTTGAAGCTTGGCTTTGTATACGCATCCGAATCCACCGGAACCCAAAATGTTGCTTTCTTGAAAATTATCTGTGGCTAATTCTAAGGTTTTGTACTCCATTACACTCACAGATCTCTTTCTACTCAAACAAGTGCTGTATTTGTTATTTACCAATATAAATACGTACACAATTATTAGAGGATCAATAATTAAAAAATATTAAATCAAAATGAATAATGAATAATGAAGAAGAAGAAAGTGAGCACCTATGTTGATGTTTGTGGAGGTTGGATTTGCGGTAATAGTAAATGTAGAAAAGAAGGAAAAAAACAAGTCCGCCGCCCAGAACAATGGAAGCAGCAGCAATAAGTAGTGGTATCAACAATTTTTTGTTGGAACTACCCATATGTGCTGGTTTTCTACTAGCAGCAGCTTCTTGTTGAATCGTCCCTGAATCATCATCATCATCATCATATTAATTAATGAATTAATTAATTATAGAGATTTAATTAGGAGATGAATGCAACAAAATTAGCTGAAATAGAGAAATAGAGAAATGACCTACCTGCAGGGGAGATAGCTTCCGTAATGGGAGAGAAGGGGGTGGTGCTGTTTTGTTCTCCGGCAGCGGCGGCGGTGTTGACAAAAAGACAGAAAATAATTATGACGAAAGCACAAATGGGAAGAAGCGGTTGATGAAGATGAGGAAGAAGAAGATTAATTATTATTTTCCTCATTGTTGTACATACGCATGTATGTGTTATTGTTCTGAAATCAAATCTCAACAGTAATAACTTTCTCTCTCTCTCTGTGTGTGTGTGTTGTTTAAAGTAATTTAGAAAGAAGATTTTCAGTGAGAGAGAGAGATAGAGAGGGAAGGACCAGCGGTGGGGGTGGGTGGGTGGGTGGGGATAGCCTAATACTAATACAGACAAACGAGGAAAAGATGCAACACTCACTCACTGTGTGTACCTTCATAAAAGTAACTTGTTTATTTTTTTATTTAATACATGATTATGGTAATTAATTGGTAATGTTAGTTCATCAATCTCCTTTTTTCAATATATATTCACTCTCAATTATTTTTATTATTTATGTTCACATTATATATATATTTACTAGTATACTAATTAGTCAAACGGATTTTTTAAGTTATATCATTAAATTAAGTTAGTTGATAGTGATATGGATTACTCTAATTATTATTAATATGATATGGTTTCAATTTAAATTTTGAAATGATGCCAATAGTGATTACTACTAATAATAATAATAATGATACATGAATTATGATGATTGATGCATGCATAAAACTAAAAGTATATATATATATATATATATATATATATATATATATATATATATATATATATATATATACTAGTGTAGAGCACCGCGCAATGCGCGGTGCCGGGTGCCTCGGGTGAGTACAAGAACTTATCGTATTATGTATTTTCGACATACTTTCATAAATCGATTTTTAGGCTGCATTTTTTTTTATCTTTTTTTTACGATTAGGTAAAATTTGGGTGGAGCGGCTGGGAAGATGGTGTAAGTATAGGGGTGATTCTGCAATTTTCAAAACTGTGTGGGACAGGAGGTAGATTTATTGTCTTAAATATCAAATCAAATTTTACGATTTACGATTTATGAAAACTTTAAAGGTATTATATTATTTATTATAAACTTGTGATAATAAATGTGGCGAATATTTTTGATATTGAAAGAGAGATTCACTTTGGGGTCAAATTTTTAATTAGGGTGGAGCGGCTAAGAATATGGAGTAAGTATAGGGGTGATTCTTCAATCTTCCCAACTGTTTCAGCCAGGGATGTGGATTTTCGGAAATTACAACTTGATTTCCACTTGGGGGGATTTCCGGTTTAAAGACTTTAAAATGGTATATAATATAGGGACCAAAATAGTAATTATAACACGTTTATTATAAATAATATAATAAAATATTGTTTTCTTAAATCGTAAATCGTAAAATTTGATCGTTTTGACGATATTTAAGATTTATTTTAACATTTGAATCGACTTAGGTATGAATAATTGACTCGTAAGATTTGAATCGTAAATCAAAAGATTTTA